GGAGCCTCTGAAAATTTTTGAGTAGCATTACCCTTAGGCATTATGAAGATTACTTCAGCTATGTGTACTGTCATTAGATGTACTAATATAACTTCAGTCCCATGGGCCTTGCCACCTGCTCTTTTGCTATATAACATTAGGACTTTAGGTATTGCCATTCATCCTGCATTATAGATTGAATTATTTGTATCCTGATTCTGTAATAAATCATTTTAACTATCTCTTCTTTATGATATTTGTCAGTCTGATAAATGTACCTCTTTTGTCTTGACCGAAGTTATCAAAAAGCATGCTTTATAGTGCCAAAGACAGAATTCTGTAGCATTCCAGTGTAAATCCTCCAAATTTACATAGATTCAATCAAACTCACCTACAAGTCCACTTAATGAGCTGAACAGTCTTTGTTTTTTCTGCTTTGTCCACATAGATATTACAGTAACTGATTCAACAGAAGAATAAGGTCTATTTGCACCATCAAAAAAAGGAAATTAGATTAATTTGGCATGGCTTATTTTTAATAGAGTCGTTAAGATTCCTAGTGATCACTTTGTTTTCTTATTGCTCACAAATCATCTATTTAACATTATTCGGGAAAAAAAATTTTCCAGTGATCTACATAAAATTTATTGGTCTGTATTTTTTATTCTATACCATTTTTTCCTTTTTGATGATTGATATAGTATTTGCTTGCCTGCTAGCATTTTTATCTTTTTCCATAATCTCTCAGAGATTTACAATGATGATCTCAGGATCATATCACAGTATTACAGAATTTTGGAACTAGAAGGGACCTTAGAGATCATCTAGTGTAGTCCTTCCTTCTTTCCTTCCTTCCTTCCCTTCCTTCCTTCCTGCCTTCCTGCCTTCCTTCCTTCCTTCCTTTCTTGCTTTCTTTCTCTTTCTTTTTTTTCAAAAAGGGGGGAATTTACAATTAAATAAAAAGAATGACTTATGTAAGGTGATAGAACTAATGGAAGGTCAGGGAGTCCAACTCAGGTTTTTTGATTCCCGTATACATTATTCTTTGTAATGCCCTATTCTGCTTCTATGTTTTGTTTTGTTTTGTTTTTTTAGTAACCCAAATGAAATATATTTGCTTCTACATTGCTGAACTTATGTGAATTGGCTTACTTACTATCTCCTTTTTGGCCTTGCTCTTTAGTTTCCAGGCTAAAAGAATTTTACTTTTGCAGAAAAAATGGAAATAAAGCAGGAATTCAGTTCTGCTTTTTCACTGTCATCTGTTAATATTATATCACCTATCCCAGGAAGTGTTCCTGTCCCTTCTTTGCTAATCATCTTGCTTTAAGGTAGTGGGTTAGGTGGCTCAGTGGATAGTATGCTAGACCTGGAGTCAGGAAGGCTCATCTTCATGAGTTCAGATCTGGCTTCAGACATTAGCTGTATGAGCCTATATCAGATTGTGCGCTGTCTTGAGGAGGAAGATAGGGAGGGAGGGGGAGAAAAATTTGAAACTCAAAAGCTTATGGAAGTGATTGTTGATATATCAAAATAAATTAATTGAAAAGAGAAATAAAGAATCTCTTCCTCAGAAACAAAACAAAACCAGACACTAGCTATATGACCCTGAATAAGTCACTTAACCTTGTTTGCCTCAGTTTCCTTATCTGTTAAATGAGCTGGAGAAGGAAATGGCAAACCACTCCAGTATCTTTGCCAAGTAAATCCCAAATAGAGTCATGAAGAGTCAGACATGACTTAAAGGACTGAACAATAACAAAAAGGTCAGATTCCTATGGATTTCTGTTCTATATATTGACCTCCCTTCAATTTAACAGCTATTAATGCATGTACATTGGGTTTGGTCATTCATTGTGTTCCAAGTCTACTTGACTATACTATCATCTTGCTCATATCCACAAATATATTTTTGAAATCAAAGTATACATTATCTTTAACATATTTCTGGTCAACAGATCTAGTTATCTTGTCAAAAAAGAATATCAGGTAATCGTGTGTATGTGTGTGTGTGTGTGTACACGCATCAATACATACATACACACATATAAAATATGTAGTCAGTCAACATTTAATTAGTGTTTACTATGTGCTGCGTACTATGCTAGGTACTGAGAAGACAGGCACAAGATAGTCCCAGCCCTCAACGAGTGCACATTCTAATGAGAGACATAACATGCAGACAACTATGTATATAAAAGATACACACACACATATATGTATGCATGCACAGATATTATATATATGTTCTGTATATATGATAAAATAGAGATAATCTCATAGGAAAGGTACTAGCATTAATATACAGGACTTTTTTATTGAAAGCGTATTTTTTTTTTGTTTTGACTGTAACCAGTCTCTTCTCCAAAAACTTCTGAGTTAAGCAGAATGTAACTGACATCACTGTCATTTTTGTAATTATTGTTTAAAAGAAAGGGAAGGATTGCATTTTAATCCTAGTAATTTGAAGCTAACACTTTTCATTGTATTTGACTTGATTGCTTTTTCTTTTCATTATTTTCATTAATCTCCAGTCATCCTGATTTGGCTCTGGAGGAGAAAGTGAGGCTGATGACTTTGCACAGCCCTCCACACTTAAATCCAATTCACTTGCAAGTCATATCATCACCTTCCTAATGCCATGGTCCTCTTCAAGAACAAAGGACAAACTTAACAACAATTTTCATTTCCATTTTTAGAATCATAGGTTATATTGCTTCTTGGGTTTTACCTTTTTTTCTTGATTTTGTATCCGTTCATACACATTTTTTCATACTTCATGTGTGTAATTCTATATGGGACAGTAATACTGTATTATAATTCGTTCAGCTATTTTTTCTGCCTTTGACTTTTTTGAGGCATAAACGTAGTGTTGGGATCATCAAATCAAAGAGTATTTAGTGACTTTTCTTACATAATTCATAATTGTTTTCTAGAATAGTTTAATTAGTCAGTAGCTCCACTAGCAGTGAACAACCTGTGTTTGATAAAGTTATTGATCACTGCTTCCCCCTGGTCATAAGCCATCACCTTAATAATGTGTTCTAGAATTTTTCCAAGAATAAAAGTTAAGCTCATTGATGTATGCTTTGCTAACTTCACTCTCTTTTTTGAAAATGGTGACATTTGCCCCTAGAGATTATCATTCTTTTTATTTTTACCCCCAATTTATAGTGCAGTGCTTGGCACATAACAGGCACTTAATAAATGTTTTTTGATTGATCATCAAGTCCTGTTTCTTAAGTTCCACTCCCCTGTTCTCCAGTATCTTTAAAAGATCACAGACAGCAGCTCCAGATCCACGCTTAAAAATTGTAGTTTGTCTGGGTTAATAATAGCTTGAGCTTTTTTTTTTTTTAAATAAGGCAGTTGGGGTTAAGTAACTTGCTCAAGGTCACACAGCTAGTAAGTGTCAAGTGTTTGGTCTGAGGCCGGATTTGGACTCAGATCCTCCTGACTTCAAGGCTATGCACTGCGCCACGTAGCTGCCCCCATGGCTTGACATTCTTGAGTGAAAGCTACATGTTGTCTGATTACTGCTTCCTTTATTTGGGGTTCCGTTTTCTGCTTAACATTTTCTGTCCTTTTTGGTTCAAAGATCATTTTCCTATGAAGAAAAAAGTATCAAAATGAAGAGTTGAGTAGTTTAGCCTTTCCATGTTCCATTGTCACCATCCCATCCGAACAATGGGGTCCTACCTTCCTTTGTCTTTTGTTCATCATAGCTTTTAAAAAACCATTTTGAATAGTTCTTATTCATCAGTGTCTAGCTTCTATTTGTTCTGGATTTGACTGGTTTCTGGTGGAATCCTGAAAGGATGATGCTGGTCCTTTGTATTACTTAGATGTGTGCCTTTATGCCTTATTTGCCTTTTCTGTAGATTCCTTTTGTTTGTTTTTTTACATCATTATTCATTTTTTTAATGTATCTTTTTCCTTTTCCCTCCTCAGCAAATTCTTTTCTTGGAACAAAGTCAATAAAATGGAAAAGTAAACAGATAAGCAATTCCAGCTAATACACCCATTGAGTCTGATGGTATATGCAGTAATTCCATATTCATAGTCCCCTTCCACCCCTCAATGATGAGAAAGGGATCTACTTTTTTTATAACTCTTCTCTGAGGATAGGTGTGGTCATTATAATTTTGAAGTTTTCATCTTTTATTTTTCTTATTTGTGTCATTATATAAATTATATTCCTGTTTCTGTTTACTCTGCATCAGAGGGGTTTTTTAGATTTCTCTTCTTTCTCAGCCTCTGCTGGATCATCGTCTGTGTCTGATTTCCTCAGTATGGATGTTCTCTAAGATAATGTCCTGGACCCACTTCTTTTTTATCTTAATACTTTCTTTTGCTGACCTTATCAGCTCCCATGGTTCAGATATCATCTCTGTTGAGATAATCATCAGATCTGTAGATTCAGCCTTAGTCTCTTTCTCAAGTTCTAAGCTGTGTTACAGGGTATCATAAACTTATCCTGTTCAAAATAAGACTCATCATCTTCTCCCAAATTTATACCTTTTTTGCACTTCCTGTTTTTGTCAGTATTATCACAAAACTTCCAGTAACACAGGTTCATAATCCTAGAGCCATCCTCAACTCTTTGCTTCTATTCAGTAGCCAAGTTTTGCCATTTAAGCCTCCCCAGCACCTCTCCCATCTGTTCCCTTCTCTCTGCTCCCACCACCATCAGCCTGCTTCTTACTCTAGTTACTTCTAACCTGGTGTTCCTGCTTAGTGTCCCTGCCTTTTGTTGTTAAAGTCAGCCAGTCAGTTAGTAAACGTTTATTAATTGCCAGTCATTGTGCTAAGTGCTGGGAGATACCAAGACAGGCAGAAGTCTTGAGGCAGAATTGTGACTGTTGGGCTGTAATCTGTATTTATTTTGCAGAATTTAATTTCAAATAACAAATGATTTTAAGTAATTGAAAATTTGAATAAATTGAATTTGATGTGGTAATGTTTAATTTATTTGAGTATTTTTTAAAATAATTATTAATTTTGGTTTTCTGATCTTTCAGAAAGATGAAGTATATCTTAATCTGGTGCTGGACTACGTTCCTGAAACAGTGTACAGAGTTGCCAGACACTATAGTCGGGCCAAACAGACACTCCCTTTGATCTATGTTAAGGTATGTAAGAAATTTTTAAAGCCCATTATAACATAAAAAACTTATTTAATCTTCAAATCTGGCACTTCAGTTCTAGTCCTAGGACATTGTTTATTTTCTCATCTTTGGCAGCTTCTCCATTTGTCAGAGGATTGAAAATCAAAATATTGCAATGCTGCTTACCTGTCCTTAAAAACTACATTAAATTTGCTCTTAAAAATGCCACTTACAGATGGAATTGTACCTGCAGCCTGTTTAAAAATATACAGGGACTTTATGAATAGGTCATTTAATTCTTGGAATATTATTTCTGACAATCACACATTTACTTACATTTTATTATTCACAAATGTCACAGTTATTCACATTTCTCTAGCATATGTTTTCAGCGTGCTTTTCTCACAACAACACTTGAGGTAAATTGTCCAATTTTTATTATCCTCATTTTGCAGATGAGAAAAGTAGAGGCCAGGGAGAATAGTTATAATAATAATAGCGGTAGTAATAGCTCACATTTACACAGTGTTTTAAATTTTACAAAGAACTTTATATACATTATCTCATTTGGTCCTCACAACAACATGGTATGAAATAGGCCCTCTGGTTATCCAAATTTTTTAGAAATGAAGAAACTAACACTCAGAAAGATGAAATGACTTAGGATAAATCTTTAGGATAATGACTTATAGTAAGAATGCGAGGCTGAATTTGACCCCTGGTTTTCCTGACTCCAAATCCAGCATTTTCTCTCCGATGCTATGCCCTTTCTCAACTTGCGTATGGACGTATAGCTGTCCTTTCACATTATGTCATGTTGCCTATCTATGGTGCAAAGGACATAGACTCATTCATCATTATTTATTCAGTATAAATGTGTAAGAGCTGACTTTAAACTGACTATTCTTTCTTTGACAGCTTACTCTTTGAGGATGTTTATAAGTCTCTTTAAAACTATAATATCGAGATTCACATTAATAAGAATCTGTTTTATCAGGGAACCTCTGATTTTAGACTATGGTAATTTGGAAAAGCAAGAAAAACACTTCTATAGTTTTTCTAGCCTCATCTTTTTAGAAAAGAAAAACTGATTAAATGTAATAGAGAAATAAAATGAAGGGAAGGTATACGCAGGCAACTCCAGTAGGAATAGTAGAATTTTTGTCCGTTTTTTTCCCCTGTATTCTGAAACTTACATAAAACTGAAAGATAAATCATTGTCTCAGTTAAAATTTTTACTTTGTGGCTATGACCCAGGATTTTAATTTTTAGCATATACTTAAAATTGTTAATGTTTATTAATGTTTATATAATGTTTATAGACTCAAGTCCTGAGTCCAACACATATTAATAGGATGACCTTAGGCAAGTCACTTATCCTTCAGTGCCCCAGGCAACTCTCTGAGCTACTAGGGTATCAGTGAATTTCACTGAAGATGAAATGACAGGTCTGAGATTCTCCTCCCCACAAATCAATTCAATAAACATTGATAATTTCTTCTCCCACTCTCAGGTAATGATTTGGAATAATTAGAGCTTAAATAAAATTGAGTAAGCAGAATTTTATGTTTAGAATTTAGCTCATTCAGTGTTACTAATTTTCTCTGGTATCCAAAGGTTCTAATGAAAGCATTCACATCATTGGAACTCTGTCCTAGCTTTTGGCCAAAAGCCACACAAACTTGCATACTTTTAGAAATCATGAACCCATATCATTTTTGTCATATAAAGTTCTTTTTGCTTCATAGGCAAGTTTTTCTAAATAGGGACTATCCTGGAGTCTAATTACTTCATTATTATATCTTATGTACTGGAGTAGAATTTAAAGAGAAGCTAGGCCTATTTGGACATTGTTCATGTAGATTTACTTACAGTATGAAGAAGACTTTATAACATGGTTTTACTTGTAGCTTGTACTCGAAGAATAATAACCTTGTGACTTTTTTCAGGGCTCAAATGCCAGATCCTATATAAGTTCTGATATAAACCCTTCAGTTGGTAGTGCTCTTCCTCCTTATCTTCAGAATTTATTTGTCGTTTATTTTGCACGTATTTTATATTTACTCATCTGCATTCATACTACTTTCCCCAACAAAATACAAGTTTCATAAAAAGAGGGGCTTTTTTTTTTTTCATTTTTGTCTCTTTTCCCTACTGCCAAACATGGTGCCTGTCACAATGTAAGTGTTTAATACACGCTTGTGGAGTGAGTGAAAAATGAATGAATGAATATGTGAATGAAAAGCCAGGCGCCAGGGTAAAAAGCTTCTTACCTTATTTCAAAATTTTTTTTCAGAACTTGAATAGAAAAAATTAAATTTAAATTAAAGCTGAGTACTTCATTCTTCTTTCTTCTTCTTCAAAAGGTGAAGAGAAAGGAAATCTAGGGTATAGAATAGGTCTATTAGATAAGAATTTATATGAAGTAAATGGTTTCTTGATACTGGCCTGTTTTAACATTGCAAAGAAAGTTTGAGACAAGATAAAAACCCTTTAGTATTCTGTCATTAATGATTTTCACTGCTCTTAAGACATTGGTGTGACAGAACTGTCAAATGAATCATTTTAACAAACATACACATCAGCTCAAGTTTCTTATTTAGAGGATCCTTTTTTAATGGCAATGAATGAAAGACACTCTTTGAATACACCTTAAGATTTAGATAATAATTCCTTTTGTTTATTAAATGTTACCAAAGTTATAAAGACCTTGATGACATTGGTACAGCAGTGCACCCTTGATGCCTTCCAGAAGTTCAAAGAAATGATGTAGTCAGTGTTACCATAATTCTTTCCTTTGTAGCATACTCATTTGAGTTGAAAATTAAACTTCCTCAACCTTTTACCCTCATTAAATAATGTTCTAAAAATCTTTTTTATAACCATCATACTTTGGAGTTAAGTTTGATACCAAATTGCTAAATAAACTATAATGATATCCAGACAGTGATTTATCTTTGCTTCATCATACCTCTTTGAAGGAATTAAAACTACAAGGTCCTTCATGTCAAGATTTACTTCATCTGAGTCACTGTCCTATCAGCAACTTGTAAAGGGGCTGCCACAAATGTCACTCTTACATCCCACATGAGTCTATTTAAGGATGTTGCCTGGCTAGTCACCTCAGTGATGATTGTTTTCCAAAGGACATGTGTGTAGGCGGCCAATAAGTCAGAGAGAAGCAAGCAAAAGATATAGACTCTGCCCTTGAGAGACACCACCAGAGAGGTTCAGTATCTCTTCATGTGGATTCTTTTCTTTGTCCCTCAGTCAAGTATTTAAGTGTCACCCTTTGGGATAAAATGGGAAAAGCCCACAAGGTAATATCTACAGTCTTGGGCGTCTCTGTGGTGTTAGTCACCCATGGTGTATGTGGTGGTTTAAAACCCTGTTATCTCTGAGACTTATCAAGGATGACAGTAATGTAGTCCTGATTCATCAATGTTGCAACAAATCATTAATAGACTTAGGTCTCTCACATCCTGCCCTAATCCAGAAAATCCTGGGAGCTTTGGTTCACAGTAACCTGCAAGGGGTGTTTACCAAGGGAAATTCATGTTGTGGTAGAAACTAGAGAAATATTTATGCATTTAATTACTTAGTTGGAAAAAAGAGAGAAAACCTTAAGGAAAAGGTTCGGGATCTAATTTTCCCTTAAAGTTATTTTTCTTGTTTCATTGTTTACTGATTAAGGATAATCTTGCATTTGATATAAGGAATGTAACACTTATTATTGTTTATTTTTCAGTTGTACATGTATCAACTATTTCGAAGTTTAGCCTATATCCATTCCTTTGGAATCTGTCATCGGGATATTAAACCACAGAACCTCTTGCTTGACCCTGATACAGCTGTCCTAAAACTTTGTGACTTTGGAAGGTAAGTTTCTTCTTTTGAATTTTCACATACTGTTCTAATCCTGTTACACATTTAATGAAATAATGTATGTAAAGCACTCTGCAAACTTTTAAAGCACTTTATAAATATACTCTATTATTTTTATTATTATGATACATATACATGTCATTTTGATTGATTTGTATCTGCTGTGTTTCTTTTGACTATAGGGCTCATTTTTATCTCAGTTTAGGAATGAGGAAGAGACTTCAGAAGTAACGTTTTACTCTTTTTATTTTGTCTTTCCTACTAGCTTTTCCTTTTCCCCTGTGGTTCCTGCCCCTCTTTCCCTTTCATTTACCTTATACTTTGCCACTGATTGTAAATCTTCACCAGTTCCTCATTTTCTTCCTTTTCTCGTGACATCTTTCTAATCCTCTGGTACATCCTTTAAAAATTTCAACATCCCCACTTAGACTATTACCTATTTGCCATCTTTGAATTATCTTAAATTCTTAAAATGAAAGATAGTCCTGTTCTGCGGGGAACTTTCAGTGATCCCAAACCGCTCCCCATCACAAAGTCTGTCTTTGAAACAACAGTTAACTTGCAGTGACTTTATGTAGCTGAGAGTAATGGACTTCTGCAGTCTCATGAAAATCAGAATTGCTGGTGACTGAAATTCAGTCCATGAAGAAATACATGTCTGATGTAAGTAGAGACTCCTTCGTGTTTCTCACCGTGAAGTGCATAAGAAGTGGATTAAAAGACCTCATCAAGGATATATATGACTCAAAGAGGCAGAAGGCTATTCATGTATCAAGAGCCTGCGATAACAATATTCTAATAAACATTCTATGAGAAGACCTGTGTACCTTAAATGGACCCTCCGTGGAAAATTTTTGTAGGAGATAAAACTATGCATTGTAGTAATGGGTGGGTTGTAATCTATACTTGAACAGGAAGTACCAGGGGATTATGGATTCATTGAAGCAGTTTTAAACGTTGGACTGATCCCTCCCCATCTTCCAGTTTGCTTTCTTCGTTGTAGTTTTCCCCTTCTTTATGATCTTCCAACTCTCCTTTTTTTCTGGGTTTCATATAGACACATTCATACCATCTAATTTTCATATTTCTACTTCAAAACACCTTACAGTGCCCTTATTATTTCAACTTGCTGTTTCACGTGGAGAATATTTTAATGATACCTTTTGTTTTTAAAGTAAGTCATTTTCAGACATGGAGCTCCTCCTCACATTCCCCACAAACTAAAACAACTCATAAAGGATCTGCATCTAACAGTGTCTTTCTCTAGTTAGATGAGACTGGTATGGGCAAGGCAGCTATTTGGAGTTTGGCTTCCTTTCAGTGGTCTTTTTTTTTTTTTAACGTTATTAAAATTGCATATATTGTTCTTCAGCTTGTGCTTACTTCCCTCTACCACATCATGCATGTTTCTCTGAATTCTTCATATTTGTCATTTTGTACTTCAGAATAATATTCTATTACATTCAAGAATTCCAGTTGTTCAAGCATTCTCTATTTGGATAATTTCTACTTTGTTTCTTGCTTTTTGCTGTCACAAACAAAGCTGCTATGAATATGTAGGCCTTGCCCTCCCCCCCTGTTTTTTACTTCTTAAGGGAATGTATATAAGAATGAGATCTCTTATCTGGTTCAAATAATATTAATATCGTGCTCACTTCATCCATATCATTCCTAGGACATATTTTTGATTTTGGCTATCTCTCAGTTGTCTCTGGGAAAATTTCCCATAGCAGACCGATCAAATATGTAGTACCTAGAGATCTTATATCTATAGAGGCTATCCTGTTTTTGACCTTTCCGATTTCACATTGTCCAAATGTGTAATGGTTCTTCTGAGGTTTAATTTTACTTCTGAGGTTATGGCTCCCTGACCTCTCATTATAGGGAAAGATAAAGGATGCTTAACAGAAACTACTGCTTAATACCTAAAGTAAAGTGTTCCAAAACTGTTACCATTCCCTACTTATAGTACAAATAGTGTTAAATTAGGTATGAAAGAATTTATGACACTAGATTTTTCCACTGTTGAAGTATTCTTTTCCCAGCTGTAAAACACTTATTATGTGTCATGTTTTGGGGCATGGAAATAGTTTTATTAAGATATTTCATTATAGTGGAATCTAGAACAAATATTTTGCCTTTACAGGCAAAATCTCATTTAATAATTGTCTCACTTAACAGATTTTTCTGGGATGAAATATTTTTAAACATAGTTTGCCTGAGCAAAGAGTGAACTAGAGGGGATCTTCTTCTCATTGTTGAGTTAGTGATAAAGGAAGAAGTATTAGTGGTGCTGTTTCTGGTATAGGCCAACAAAGGCAATTTGGGACCCAACTGAGAGAAAAGCATACAGCCCAGGCCATGGCTGTATGCACCTTTCTCATTCACTGGGAAGCAAAGAAGAGAAGGGGTCTCCTACTTAAGCTAACAGGGCAGAAAACCTGCAGCTTATCTCAAATGGAAGGGGAGGCAAAAGGAGATAGTATCCCTTCCAAGGTTACAAGCTTTGCAACCTGCAGTAAATTCTTACACTTACTAGGTTGGTTCTACCTATAATAATTCACTTTCTAACAGCAAAGTATCATTGTAATGTATCTTTTTAATCAATGGATTTAATTTTATTGAGGGGAAAGGAATCCTGTGATTTCATTGGTTTGGAGATTTCCCAGCATGCAAACTCCCTCTATTAATGCAGATCTATAATATCACCTATAAGTTAAAGTTTTACAGAGTTGCCTGGGACATTTAGTGATTTCATAGTTAATGTTTTAAAACAAGGGCTTGAATACAAGCCTTTCTGATTTCAAGGCCAGGCTTCTATACAAAGATATTACTATATTATAAAAAGATAAGGGCTATTGATTTTATTTGTTATATTCAACCATGACTTCATTTTATTTCAGTCTAAATTCAGGGAGCAGTTTTTGTTATTTAATTTGACCTGCCAAGTAGGGACCCAACCTTGTGGAGATATCAAAAGAAATAATCCTGACCTTTGAATTTTATAATGAAGCATGAATATTGGGATTAAAAAAGCAAATTACTAGAAAAAGAATGGAAAGAAGTAATTTTAAAGTATTAAACATTAACATTCATTTGGAGTTCAGGTTCCACTTGTGGCTTTGATTCATAATTTTAGGGACTAGGAAGCACTGAGTACTAATTAGAATGAAAATTGGATGACTCACTCATTTTAAAATGTGCACATTTGAAAGTGAGTGGATAGTGTGTCATTCCTCCTCAGTTGTAAGAAGTTCAAGTTTGCCAGTATCTCTGGTATGTCTCCCTACTACCTTTAAGATAAAATACTAGCTCCTCAGCTTGTCATTTATACCCTCCAGATTCTAGATGTAGTCTAAATTTCCAGACTTATTTCACATTATTCTTCTTGCCTTCTGTGTCCTGATCATAGCCGTTTTGTTTGCTCTTCCCAGAACTCCTACCTCAGTGCTTTTAGACCACTAGTTGTCCTGCAAATCTACAATGAACTCCCTTCTCATCTCACCTCACTCTCTTAGAATCTTTACCTTTGTTCTGGGGTAAGCTCAGGCACCATCATTAACAGAAAGCCTTTCTTTAGTCCCTAGTGGATAGGGATCTTTTCTTCTCATTATCTTTATTTACTAATTGCAATAATTATTATATCTCCCTTTCCCCACAGAAAAATGTAAACTCTTTAATCACAGGGATCATTTTTGATCTGTGTGTGTGAAGCTATATGGCCATTCTGTACCTACAAGTGCTAAGACAGCCAGCTTGGGGGATTTGCATACAGTCGGTGTTTAATAGAAATGCTTTTTCAGTTGAATTAGATTAACCATGCTTTACTTTTCTAGCCCTGGACTCCTCATTTGAGTTTGCTGTGACCTCTCTCCAGGCTCTATATACAACATATTTAGTCTAGCTCAGTACTCTCATGTGTACGAGTTATACTTAATCTGATACCTGCCTATTCTCATTTAACTCTTTTAGTTTTGTTGCCTTGTGTTCAAAAAGGTACCAAACTTTGAAAGCAGGAATTTCCAGTTCTAATTGTTTTATGCTGCTTTATGTTTCAGTTTTTCTCAGGTGGTGTCTCAAAATATTAACTGTAATTCATTTTCATTTTATAAAATATGAGGTATTTTAAAATATTTTAAATTTCATTTTAAATAGTTTAAAATGCTAAATATTTAAACATTTTTAAAATAGGAGAGCCTTTTGGCAGTGGTGGTAAAATGAAGGAGTTTTTATATTGAACAAAGGAGATTATGACGTCAGGATTCAAAAAAATTTGAGTTATCACTGTACACAAGGATGTAGAATTATACAATTCTCTATGTAGGGTTTAGGCAATTAAGGCATTCTTTGTGATAATGAGTCTTCAAAATAGGTTGGATCTGTCTTTGCTGAGGTGTCCCCTCAGTTCAAGACACAACTTTTAAGGTGCTAGCCAGTTTTAAATCAATTTTTCCCTTGGTCATAAAAGTATACGTTATCATCTAACTAGGAGTGGGTAATTTAGGGATCAAAAGAGTCTCTGTCTGTCTCACTTCCCTTGTAACAATGTGATGATTGTTTTAATATTGCTTTTCTTTAAATCGGTTATATAATATGCACAGTTTTGTAATATTTGGAACAAATATATAGTTATGATTATTTTGCTGATTCACCCAACTTTTTCTTTCAGGTATAAAAATACATCTCAGATAAATGGCTAGATTTAAAATGAATCTTGGAGGACATGTAACTGATATGCCTGTCTTTGAGAGCGATAACCATTTAACCTATTTATGCAGCATACAGATACAGTAATTTCTAAAGTCATCTGCTTTCTGTTTTTGTTACTAGTGCAAAGCAGCTGGTTCGAGGAGAGCCCAACGTTTCATATATCTGCTCTCGCTACTATAGAGCACCAGAGTTGATCTTTGGAGCAACTGATTACACCTCTAGCATAGGTAAGTGTAAAATCTGTAAAAAGTGGTTCTCATTGCTATTTACTTTCTAAAATAATTAATTATTTGGCCAGTTTGTCACAATTTCAGATAAATATTAAGAATAGGTATTGGCCAGAACTATTTTCCAGTGATCTATGAACATGTTTAAGGTGAAAGCAACAGGCATTTGTTAAGCACCTGCTGTGTGTCTGGAAATGAGCTCAGTGCTTTACAGATATTATCTCATTTGGTGCTTACCACAAATCTGGGAGGGAGGTGCTATTATTAAATATAATTTAAAGATCAAACTTCTTAAAGATGAAGAAACTAAAACAGAGATGAAGCGACCTTCTTAGGGCCACCCAGGTAGTAAATATCTGAGGCCTGATTTGAACTCAGGTCTTCCTGACTCCAGGACCTATCACTCTAGATCACCTACCTGCCTTTATTTTGAAAACTTTCGTGAAAAGTTTCAGAATTTAAAAGTTTCTTAAAATCATTTGCCATTTTCACCAGCACAGTAATAGTCTGTGAACTAGTCTTCATTGAATATAATATCCTAATTTAACAAAAGCAACAGTTTTTACCAATGTTACCTTTTACTAATAATAAAGAGAGAGAGAAATCAAAGTTTTATGATTACTTTATACATGGATTTAAAAAACGAATCTTTCCAACAGTCATATTCTTTTCATTTAAACTCAATGATAATATTCTCTTCTGAGTTGTAAATAGTTTCAGCACATGATAGATCACAATCACAGGAGCTTAGTAAATGTATGTTGAAGGAGAGCAGATGGCTTCTTGGCAGAACACCGTTCTCAATCCCTGGCCCAAATAGTTCTCAAACCCAAGAGCACTGAAGTTCTCATGGTTACTTTCCTTGTGCTTTCATCTTCATCTCCAGCTGTTCCCCAAGTGGAAGGCATTGCGCACCATTATTGTTGACTTATGGCATCTGTTGCAGGCCAGCTACATTGACTGGTCTGCCCCAGAGGCAGAACAGCTTTGAGAAACCATTCACTCCCTAGCATCTTGTTTATTGCTTATAGTTCTGGGTATTTTAGGCTTCTAGGCAGTGGGGCTGAAACTGAAGAGCCATAAATAGGATAATTGAAAATAATCAACAGAGGAAAGGCACTGTGATGAAGGGAGATTGAGAAAGACTTCCTATAGAAGGTGGGATTTTAGCTGGGACTTCAAGGAAGCCAAGAGGTAGAGACAAGAAAAGAACATTCCAGGCACGGGGGAAAACCTGTGAAAATGCCCAGTGTCTGACAATTGAGTTTCTTGTATGAGGAACAGCAAAGAGGCCATTGTCACTGGATCTAAGAGTATACTGGGGAGAGAGGAAAAGAGAGTAAGGTGTAAGAAGACTGGAAAATATGGGGCAGAGAGTGGTGAGCAGGTTACTAACTGGCTTTGAATTTTAAACAACGAATTTTATATCTGATCCTGGAGGTGATACCACTAGAGTTTATTGAGTGAGGGGTGGGGAGATTGTGTGACAGATATTAACTTCAAAAGTACCATACTTGACTAATGACTAGCCAGTAACTTAAAGTTAAACCAGTTTTAAAATCCACCACAGCAGTCTAGCAAGCTAGATGCAAATGATGGTCTTGGCCATATGTAGTAAACGTAAAATAAGAAAGGCTTGTCAGAGAAATTGTCAAAAGCCACAAAGGGAGTAGAAAGTGTGCTGCCCTTGAAACTGGAAGTCCTATACTCAATTCACAGATCTTTGCACTAAGTAACTTTTTGACCTTGGCAAGTTACTTAACTTCATTGAGCTTCAGTTTTCTTATCTATAAAATTGGTTAAATAATACTCATTCTATTTTCTTGACAGTGTTATTGTAAAGAAAATGTCATGTAAACTTAGAAGTAACTATAATAAATTAAGCTATTATTAAAATAAGGGGATTGGACTAAATGGTCTCTCAAAGATCTCTCCCAGCAGTGACATTTTTTTGATGATCTTTGAATTCCAAAGTTGTAATCTCTTAGCAAAAAAAACAGCATAAAAATAAACAGCCTTTGGTTGTAGGCTTCTGTCATGTGCTGGTCTGCCTACCTGTGATAACTAGGGGCTCCAGTCTTTGAAAAATCTCTCAGGAAATATTTTCTATGACCCAAAAAGAGCTTCTGAACCAGTGGTTTCTGTTCTTGATCATGTATTTCCAGCAGGCATGGCAGTTTTAGGAAAAAGAAGATAATAATCAGCTTCTTGTAGAGGAAAAAAAACCAGCCACAAAAAAGGCCACCAGGATACTCACAAATAATAGTCTTGTTATGCACAAATTCAGGGAAATATCTGTAGAGCAACACAAATAGAAATATAGACAGACACAAACAGAAATGTACACACACTTGTGTGTGTATTTGTTGATATATTCTAACATTCTCCCCTGATGGTGACAATTGACATGTTACTTTAAGATCATTGATAGATTGGAGTGTTTTGAGGTATTGAAAAATTATCTTTCCTAAACAGGAATTGGATCCATGATATCGGACACATCTAAGCTTACTAAGCAAGGAGTACTGAAGTACACACCCACACAAACACAGAGCTCTCTACTCACAGAAACATATGCATGCAGAGACTCATCCTTGTAGATACATGATATGAAGAAGGATGTATAGAAAACATTTGAAAGACTCATCACTCACCTTGCCCTCCAGTAATAGTCCTATACTTTAACAGAACCATCTGTTAGAGTCCACATTCTAGTATGGTCATGGGAGACTCCAGCAAAAAATCTAGGACTGAAAGACTGAATTAGGAGGACATGAGAAAGGGGCACATGACATAGAAAGTAAGCTTATGTTAAGGACTTTTTCAATCAAACAGATTTCAGGTGAGCACCTCCCAACATCAGTGTGCTTTTAATTCTTTGGTATACAATTGGTATACAATATAGTATATAATTTTTTATGTGGTGTACAATTTTTAAAAAATTTTAATTAACAAAACTCTTTTTTCCTTAGAAATTACATTTACACTGACTTTAGTAATTTGAAACTGAAGATTATACAATGTAATTCATTGCTACAATAGGGAGACTAAAAGAGCCCAAAAAGTCCATTAGTCAACAAAATCTGATTTAATTTCCAGACAGAAATGACTGCCAAATGCAACCCTAAGCTAGAGTATAAGCTCTTCTGTTAGCTCTGAAGAAGAATGATGTACAGTTGTCAGCATCAGCATCTTATAAAGCAGAGAGAAATAGAGAATCATTAGGTTTCAGTGTTTTCTAACATGGAGGTGGTACATTTGTAGGTAGGGCAAGATCAAGGGTATAACCATCTTTGTGTGTGGCTGAGGTAGAGTGGAGGAGTAACTTATGGATAGTGAGTAAGTTAAGGAATTGAGTGATTAGGGTGTTTAAGGGACAGCAGGCATTAGAGAGGGGAGAAAAATCGTGCCCTAGATACTGAACTCATTGAAGAAGAAAAGGGAATGTGTCCTGGAGGTCTATAGATGACAGCTACCAGGATTTTGAGTGACTAGTAGATATGAATTGCATGCACCTCAAAGGGGAAGAGGTTACTGAGTGATTGAGAGAGGAGTAAAAACTAGAAGTGGCAGCGGGGAGTAAGGATTATTCTAATTTCCCTGCCTCAACCATTGAGCCAAGGAAAATGAGTGAAAATACAGCCAGTACTGGACAGGGTAGCCAGGGAAGCTGTTTCATTAATGGGGAAGCAGTTTTTTGGTTATTCCTAGAAGAAAGGAGGGGACAAGCAAAAGATTGAGGTTGAAAGGAAGCTTGTTGCCTTTGGAACAAGGCATTCCAGAGGGCTGGAAGGGAGGGAGGGGTAGCTTTTGTTTGGAACTTTGGGGTGGAAATGTTGAGGGATATAGAAAATAAGGATAGTGAAATTATAGTGGCTTATTATTTAACAAGTAGCCTTTAGACTTCCAAAAGAAAATTAAGTAAATATACTTTGGAATCATTGAAGTTAACAAGACATTTCTTAGATATAATGCAGCAAAAATGCTTGTTTTGGAAGACTGATTATTTTAAGCCAAATAAAAAATTCAGTTATATGGTGGGGTAATTGTTTAAACTTATATACATGCATATGTTGTGGTATGTTTGGTTAATTTTTAAAAACTCATTAAAATTAGTTTCATTATTTTATAGTGTGGTAACTTAATCTCTTATCAAATAGGATAAAGGAAAGACAGATTCCCATAGAATCATTAAAGAAAAAGTTAAAATTCCTAATTTTTGAGACTCCAGAACAAATTTTTACAAACATAGATACATTTTTTTTTGGTTAAACTGGTTGGACATGTGGATTGTTTATTTAATTGGATTAAAAATAGAAGTTTAAACTCCATTTGATATTTTATGAAGTTTTCAAAAAGTTTGTCAACTTTTTGATGCAGAAGTAGGAAACCTTTTTCTCTTAAGCTCCACTGACCCACAAGGGGGAATAACACTTAAGAGACACAAAATGAAGTTTACCCTTAAATTTTAATTTTCTTTTAAAAAAATTAAATATTTAGCTCACCAGCATTTTAAATTAAGCACAGGACATGTAGAGTCATAATAATAGCTAAGGGGGGACATTACAAATCATCTTACTCAAATGACCTAATTTTATAGGTGAAGAATCTAAGATCCTAGTAGGCATGGGTGGGGAACCTTGGCCTCAGGGCCACATGTGACCCTCTACAAACCTCACAGAACAAAGCTCCTTAACAAAAGGATTTGTTCTGTAAAATGTGGACCCAGTCAAAAGGCCACACCTGAGGACCTAGAAGACCACATGTGGCCTCAAGGCCGAAGGTTCCCCACCCCTGTCCTAGAAGGTTAAGTGACTTAACTTATAGCTCATAAGTAGCAGAACTGGGATTCAAACCAAATTCAAGGTTTTTTATATTATGCTACTTTTATCTTAGTAGACTTGTTTGAATAATGAAATGTGTAACAGATTGCTTCCAATATATTAGTCCTAGGTAAGGGAAGAGAGATGAGGGTGAAGGTGGGAATTGAAGAAGATAAA